GTTTTAATAAATGTTATCTTTGCATTGCAAATCAGTTGGTCTGTTATTTTGTGCATGTACTCTTCACATCACCACTATTACATATACTATAAAATGTTCCCGTAAGAAACCTTACGCATTTAATTATTCAAGTAGCTAATCACTGAAACATCTTTCGCTATTCCTATTCCAATGCGCCTTCGGATTTCTGTGTCACATTTTCCGTCTTCTGTTAAAACATTTCCTTAGTAGTTGAATTTCTATATCTGCCTGATTCTGATGTCCCCAATTCGCAACTCGCATCATCGTCTCTTCCTAATGCTAATGACCGCATAATCTGTCTTCTTCTGCTTTCATTTACTATTTTGTCTTGGAATTACTGGCGTTTATTGTTTTTCTTGTCTTCTATCAACATGGTGTCATATCCGTATATTATATTGTTAAGATCGCGCCCCTATCTGTTTTTGTGTATTTGCAATTCATTTTCTATCTCTATGCAGGCAATTTATTTCCAGTAAATGTTCGTGTCTCAACTACATGCATTTAAGCGTTCTACTAGATTGGCAACTAGGTCTCACCGTTTTACTGTTGAACTAGCTAGATGAAACCACCACTTCTATTCTAAGAAATCTCGCAATGTTCAACTGTAGAATTCCCTCCTGATTTCTTGATTCCCTACTACCCACAATCTTCAAAACTTTAAATGCAATGTTAATCGCCATCTTCTGTCTTTATGGACCCTGTTCTTTATTGTCCTTTCCTAACTTCACCTCACTAAAGTCTTATTCTCTTTCACTCCCTGTAAGCCTCTGCGTCTTAGTGACATCATCGCCTTGCTTGGGGAGAAATGGTTAAAACAAGTTCAAATACATCCTTCTGTTATACCTTATCAGATAATTTTCTTTAGTCTATGAAACTTTAATATACATCTTTGTATTGCTCTCTCTGATATCATTCTGATCAGAAATATCGCATTTCTTGTTCCACTGCCTTTAATGAAAGCACACTGTTGTTGACTATTTCTGATGTAATTCTGCTATCTGCTATCTGCTCTCTTCATCAGAATTCAAATTATAAGCTTAGTTATGTGGCTCATTAACCTGAGTGTCAAATGGAATTCGCATCCATTTGCATCTGACTTCTTAGACAATGTTATGATGATGGTTATTCGGTATGTTGTTACTGCTATATATTTAATTTATTAGTTCTATTATATTATTATTTATTAGTTTAGGCGTTGCATTATTTTCTTTAATTTCCTTAATTTTAGTTAAGTCTGCATATGACTGGGAGGTGTACATTCCTACAGTCGGTAGTTGGATAGATTGTACATTAGAGAACTGCATTTCTGAATCTTTTATTCGTTGTTATGCAGTCGATTTGGTTTTTCGTGTCTCCTCCTCGACCTCTCCATGTTAACAAGCATAACAGGGAACATATGTTAACCAACAAATATTCGAGTCAAAGCGATTAACTCCTGAAACTACAAAAATAGTTGCGAAAGATAATGACCTACAATCTTTGCCAAGCCAAATGTATTGACACCTTGTTGACTAGCATCAGTTATACAACACAGTAATCTGTTAAACAGTTGAAAATTAATACAAATGTCTTGCCACAGAAAATGTCCGTGTGCGTGGTGTATGAATACTGCTAGATATATAAAATATATACACAGCCGGTGTAAAAATACAATACCGCTTGTTACATGCATGGGACAAAAACAACAGATTTTCATGGACACAGGAGCAGCGTGATACCCTCTTCAGACTGTCACGCCCTCAAACCCGCCCTGTTTGAGCTCCAAACGGCTAACGGTTCCCACATAGAGACTCATAATAAAAAGACTCTCACTTTAAACATTGGCATGCGACGTGTTTAACTCAAGCCAATGTGAGAACACTCATACTCGGAGCAGATTTCTTGGCATATATTAATTTGTCGGTACGCATGAATACGAGAACCCAGTCAAATAATACAACAAGTATCTGTATCGTTGGTACCCGCACACATTACAGCACGACAGGAATCAGTGTCACAACTTGCCACAATCCCGAGTTCATGGACATATTGGATCAGTACACAGAAATCGCACAGCCATTTAAGAATACTGATTCAGAAAAGCATTAAATCCAGTATCACATCAGAACAACTGGACAGCCGTTCATCTACGATTGTCGAGAACGAAGATATGTAAGATTAATGCCAAGTTTATTTACAAAGCAGACCTCGGTGGCCATGGGTTAGATAGTCTGGTAATCGAAGGGTGGTCGCACTGGTCGTGTTGATGACAGGATGTTGAGGTGCGGTCGTGTTAACGGTAGGAAGTTGAGATGCGGCTGTTCCGGTCGTGTCGACGGTTGGAACGTTGATGTGCAGGCGCTGCGTACATGCTGGTCGAGGCCGATGTCGAAACCTCCCGTAGTATTATAACCGATAGTATACGGTAAAAGTTATTTAAGTTGAAATTAAAGGAAGTTGATCAGTGCTGTTTGTTTCGATGCTGGTCGTTGCAGATAATTGCTGCGGATCATTGCTGGACGGTCGCTGGTCCCTGCAGGTGATCGCTGCTGGTCGTCGCAGATGATCGCTGCTGGACGATCCTTGGTCGCTGCTGGTTGGCTGCTCGGGCTTCGGACGTGTCGGACAGGAACGGGAAGCTGAACGTGTCGGACAGGAACGGGAAGCTGACGTTGTGACTTTGTTAGTCAGATCCAGTGTCCGTTGCTGGCGTTGCGTATCTACTGGTCGAGTCCGATGTCGAAACCTCCCGTAGCATTATAACCGATAGTATACGGGATAGGTTATGGACGACGTGCAGGCAGCAAGTAGGGACAGAATGTCGAGAGCTGAAATGCGCAAGAAGCCAGAATTAAGAATACAGTACAGAAAGTCCAACTAGCGTTCAGATGGCAGACAAAAAAAAAAATGGGAACATAACTTAATACGCATCCCGGCCAAGAACCCTGGCCACAGTGACCAGGGGCCTGCGTTCCTTCTCTTTCTCTCTCCGACCGACCGACCGAGAATTTGACGAAAAGTCGCATGGATATATTAAAGGAGACCAACAATAATCACACCTCTCGCAAAATCTCAAGGAAAAATTAACTGAGATTTAGTACAAAAACGGTGTAAAAATGCTCAGGAAGTTTATTAGGTTCGTAACACAAAAGGAACTAAAAAGTCATAAGATCAATTCTAAAACTAAATGAAATGAAATTACATAGCGTGTAAGGAACACGATAAAAAAGGTCATGGTCCAGGCGTCCTATTCGTTCCTGTTTGGGAGCGGCCAAAGGCGGCTACGACAAGGCCCTCTTCCTAGATAATTGATCGTATCAGTTAGAAAGAATAGGTGGTATCTACATTAACAGTGTGGCAAAGTGCCAAAAGTGGTCGCGTAACTAGAAACATGCCTCGTTTGTCTTGTGTTGCCATATTGTCCAGCCTAGTCAGATCACGTCGGGGTCACCACTTGTTGCGGAAACGAAGAATAGGTAACCTGGAAGGCAGAATTTGTCGCTGTCGTTGTTACTGCTGAAGAGGTTAATTTCTTCTTCGCCTCAGCAGATGTAAATTCTAGGAAAAGGAATAAATTTTGGGTAAATAAATGTATAATTTATTTACATATATACAAAGCCATCATACTACCCGTTGGGGTTGTAAAAGACAACAGAGTGGGAGAGGAAGAAAGAAAGAGAAAGAATGTTGGCGGCTGTCGGCTGATGTTTTGTGAAGACGGTGGCGTCGAAGGATGAAAGTTGAAAATGGTAGTATCGCGTTCAGTGTGCCTGCTGCGTTCTTGACCAGCCTCTGCGTGTCGACATCTCTCTCTCTCTCTCTCTCTCTCTCTCTCTCTCTGCCTACTTGGGGCGTTGAATCAGGGAATTTATAACTGTCGTATCGGCTCCAAATCACAATCTGGGTCTTTTAGTGGAAGTTATTTCTACTGGCCAATATATAAAGTTCATTTTTATTTCATTCAATACCGAAAACATGCGTCAAGCCATGATGCGCAGAGACGCGTTTTCGCATTCTGCCTTGGGTCGTCGAGCAGTCAACATCCGGTTTAGTGCAAGAGGCACGACAGTCTCTTTAAACCACGCTTGTTCTAAAATTCTATTTTGGCGGGTTTTGAAAACATTAGAATTGGACCCCATCTTTTTTTTACACTTTAAAATTTATTCAGGAGAATTTTTTACTAATTGTCTGACTTCATTTTAGCAGTTTCTATTTAATTTAAAAAAACCGTATTAGTAACTTCTATTAATAAATGTTCTTTACTTTAACATTCCACTCAAAAGAAACCCAGTTTATTGTCTCATTATATTACATTTCTTTTTTATTATATAAATATTTATACTTCTGACTCCTGTCCACTTCGTTCTAAAAACGCATCAAATTCTCAATCCCTCATGTTGAATAAGACACAATGTTGATACATTGGAGATACGGAATTGTTTTTTACCTTTTTAACTTTTATTATTAGAATTAAAAAAGGTATGCTGTACTTGTAGTAATCTTCGGTTTCTTGTTTTATTGATTTTCGATTAATCACCAAAAACAATTTTATTGTTTTCTGCCATCACAGTTCTGCAATTTCGTCTTTTTAATAAAGTTCACGATGAAAATTGAAAATGTATGACGGGGAAGAAATATGTTCGTTGTTTTTTTTTTTTCATCAGTGTCAATAAAAGAATTTATTCGTTATATTTTTTTAATTTTGAGTGTGATCGAATGAAATGCACTAACCAAATTCATTATTGTTCCGAGTAGAAAAGAACTTCATATCAGAATGTTAAAATGTCTCTTGTTTGTTTTCTAAATTTCGATATTCTTTCTTCTGTGTGTATGTTTCCTGTATTGTGTAAACAACAGAATTATAAAAAAAATATAACGCAGTCCGTATCATTCATAATTAGGAAAGGGTGGGGTAGTGGTCCTCTGTTTTTTGTCTAAACTGGAGGGAGAGAGGGTGGGGGAAGAGAGGGAGAGATACGTTTCAAGTTTTACACGTGACTATGGCGAGTCGCTCTGCTGATGAGAATCTCCATTTCGAGAGTGATACAATCAACTTTCAGGATATTCTTGAGCTATTAAAACGACCAGAACATGACTACAGCTGGAGTACGGTCAGTATTCACATGTGAACTATATTTTTTATTATTAAGCAAATGTGAAAGAGAGAAAATATAAATACAAGAAGAATATGAAGAGACCGGGACAACAACTGTGTTGTGTAGTAACTGACTTTCTTGCTCGTCTTCTTATTCAATACATTCTAGCCGTTTTACGTTTGTTTGGTTTTTAATATCATTAAGAAGCATATTAATTTGTAAATAGGATTAAAATAAACTGTTGATGTTTGTTATTCTTCTTTGTCATACCTGAAAAAATGGTGATACAAATTGTGTAGCATGGAGGGAGTATAAACAAGAATGACTGAATCTGAAATACTAAAAAAAAACAAAAAAAAACTAAACCTGAACCAATATATTTTTTTGGTTTTTCTTCGATTCATTTTGCAAATATTGACACCAACTGTTATGAAAAAAAAAAATTCTGAATAAAAATAAATTTTAAAAATCACTTCTTTTTTTTTTTTAATTAAAAGATCCGCTGATGAAAAATAAGAATTTAAAAAACTTACAAGTAGATGCCAGAAAATATTTAAAAACTTTATGGCCAGGTTCGTTCCTCGTTTTAAATTTTTAAATTTAATAATGCACTGTTCAAATATTGCTGCTGTCTGTCCCGTTAGAAAGAAAAGACTAAAAAAGACTCAACCGCAAAGGTTAATGAGACCCGACCAATATTTGAAGAAAATCAACATACATAGCTACAAACAAAAAGCAAAAAATAGTAAAGTAACTAACTCATTGTCAGTCAATTGCTATCATTCTTTTTCCAATGTGTATAAAAAAAACGTTTTGGAAATAAAAAGAATTAATGTCGAATTAATTTTTTTCACTTAAGTGTACATTGTTGTAAAAAAATGTAAAAATGTTGTCTAAAGTTTTGAAAATGGCAGTCAGCGTCAAGTATGGGACGCCCAATGTGGATTGAACCCACCACGTATGATCTACAAGACAAGCACGCTGACCACTTCAATGAGGCTACCTGAAAATGAAAAAGATGCTCGATAGATTCGCCATCACCACACACTTTGGTTCAGGGTGTACTGTAAATTTTATTTGCAATCATTATTCTATATTTTATGATTATTTAAAAAAAGAAAAAGAAAATTTAATGAACTCCTTTTTTTTTTTATTTTTACTCATTGTGGTTGCAAAAATGTCAGTTCTTAAATAACTTTCTTATTTATAAGAATTTAGCATCTCTAAATTTACAAAATTCTAACCTAATACTATTTTCTACAAATTAAATATAATGGCAATGTCAGCACTAATTGTTTTTGTTAATAAATCTAATTTCAAAATTTCTGATTTCAAGTATTTTTCCTTTTCAAATAAACAAAACATGCTATTTTATATTCTATCTTTCATTTTTGTCATCATATTTTTCAAGTGTTAGTGTCCCAGAGTTTTTACCAAATATTTTTACTTGCAAAAATGCTTATTAAAAGGGTTGTTTGAAAAGTAGTTCTTTTATTGAAATGATTGTAATGAAGTAATAAGTTACTTTTTCAATAAGTAGTACTAGTAGTATGGCTCACATTTAATTTACCAAATATACAAAAATTCTCTCCCATTCTTGTTACTGGTGATCTCAATTAAATGGATCAATACAATTTTAAATTTCACTCCATAATCACAAATGAAAACCATCATTTTCCAAAATATTTCACTTTAAATTAAATGGAAAGGTAAAACTGTTTCTACACTGGTATGAAACCTATTTTAACAAATTAGTTACAACAGCTACCCTAAGTAATATTTTGTTAAAACATTTGTAGAATTTTCTATTAGTAGTTTTTGTATATGCGTACCTTTGTTGAGTAGTAAGTTTTACTGGTCTGCTTTTAATCATTAACATGTTTAGAGTTAGCACATTTAAAAACTGAAATAAAATGTTTTCAATTAAACTGTTCCAACATTATCTTCATAATGTAATTAAAGAAAAAATCCTTTTTATCTTTAATCCGATATTGTTTCTGAAAGAACATTCTACTTAGAATAAAACAATTTGCTAATTTTAACAAACATTTTTCAAAAAAGATTATCATTTTCAGAAACTTAAGGCCAAAGAAAAAAATTTTCAATTTAGTTTCTAATGTAATAGATGCGATTTCGATACTGTTTTCTGTTTCCCCTGACTAAAATAAAAATTTTAAAAATCTTGCTAATTAAAAAGAATTTCACAGATTAACATTCAAGCATGAAAATATTTTCAAAGATACTCTTTCTGATAATGTAAAAAGTTTAAAGTAAACATGTTGTATCCAAGAATGAAGTTAAAAATAAGACATTGTTTTTTTTTTCCTAACTTTATCTAAATAGGAAAATCACTAATTGCAAGACATTAATATTTTATTACTGCTTAGAGAAGAAAAATTGATTTCAAAATTGAACAAACTACTTTCTTACTTACTGACAACCTTTGTCAAACCTGTAGTCTGCATATATTTGAGACAAGGTTGTAGTGAATGCTAAAAAATGTAAAAACAAACAAAGAACAGAGAAATGACAACACACCCAGATAAAACAAACAACAATTTCCTCCATTTTTAGAAGTAACCAAACTCTATCAACATTAACAATAATAAGATTCACGATAAAATTTCTATTCAATCAACATTGCTTGGATATAGAGATGGTCGCTACATAACTCAGTTGTTAAAACCTTTTCCATAAAGGTTCTTTTTCAATTAGTCCTCCTCTGTAATTTGCATTTATGACTTGGTTTTTTTTTTTTAACAGGATTGAATGACTACTTGAAAAGGGAGTGAAATTTTCATTTATCTTTTGTTACAAAAAAGTTACTATTAATTTTGTTATCTACTGCGCATTTAAATACTAAGGGCAGAAATGTGATAGCTATGGTTCAAGTCAATTTTTAACTGAGTATGTACATATGCTATATAAATGTTAATTTTAAACAATTTAGCAGCAACCATTTTTATTCATTATTATTACATGTAACAGCTAAAAATTGTCAAGTGAAATATTATATTGATAAATGTTGCTTAAACAAGTCTGCTATTGAAAATTACTTTCATCTTATGAGATTTCTTTGGTTTGGACATGTTGAATTTACAAGTGTTTTTGTTTTCTTTTTAAATTTGATATATTATAAATTATCAATATTTAAACATTTATTAATTTAGCAAGCTTAAGTAAAAACAGCTAATCTTTGGTATCGATAATTTACTGCTAATAGTAATTTAAAGACAAATGACGCAACTATCTTATTTGTTGTACTCATTTCTGTGTCAAATACACCACAAATTCCGATTCTAAACAACTTTGGGTTGTCTCCCTTAGATCATTAATACTAACAATAAAAATCAGTTTTTTTTTCTTTGTAATAAATGAAATTCTAATGAATGTGCCATGTAATTCTATTTTCTTAATACCAGGGTATTAAAGAAAGCCATCTAGAAGATCTTCACTTGGAAATGGTTCACTCTGGAGCATTTTTCAGTTTTTACAACTTGTACAACAGAAAACAGGTGCAAACAGATCATGAGGTGATGATTAAGGTAGTTAAGCCATTCCCACAGGTACAAATTTGATTATTTTTCTTTTTCCTTTCTTTACACCAAATGTTTGAAAGCTTCATACAAACTTAGCACATAATTTTGAGAAATATGATTAATTCTAAGTGAAATAAAAATTAGACTTTATTAAACTATTCAATTTTCTAATATTGTCTGTATTTTGTGGCTAAAGCAATAATTATCATGGTTGATTGTGCAAACACTTGTAAGGATTATAAAATCTCTTGCAATTGTAAATGCCATGAATGTTGTTTTGCAATTAACTCAAAATGAGTCAAACATAAATTACATTAAAAAGTTTTACCAAATTATTGACCTATATTCAGAAAAGTGAAGCAGTCATCTTTATTTAATTTGGTCATCACAAAATGTCTCTTGTGATTAACTAGTAAAACTATTCTTCCCCTCATGAACTTTAGTAATGAAAAGGTTTTTTAATCTTTTAGCAATATTTTGGCTTGTGATAAAATTTGTTTCTTTCCAAAAATTACTTTTTATGGGTCTTGGAAATAAATACCCAACTATTGTTTTGAATAATGATGACATTGAATAAATTTTGGTCTTTATGATTCTGTGTCAGTGAGAGAGAAGAACAGGTCAACAGAATAAGACTCCAGATAGGATGCATCTGGTACAACTAAGTTTTTCTTTCAATATCATTTTTTCTGAAGAAATGTGTACTGTTGACAAATTTGCATAGAAATTGTGGTGCTTATTTATGGTTAGCACAATTAGTCTATAAGATAACTTTTTTTTTTTCTTTTTTTTTTTGAAAAGGCCGTTGTATTACTGTTGGGTCCAAAACCTTTGTTGATGCAATTGCAACTCCTAATGTGTGTTCTGCTTCAGTAATAATTTGGAATTTAAATTCTGCTCAAAATATCTAAAAATCTATAATTTTAATTTTTTGATTTTTATAGAAAGCTATAGTTCTAATCATGCATGTCTTTAATGATTTAAGTGGGGTTTTCCTTTTATAGTGGTTTGGTAACAAAGAAAGATCATTGCGACTATCCTATGAACAGAGAGTTTTACAGAAGCTAGAAGAATTCTGCCCAACTAACAAAGCTATCAAGATACACCTTTTTGTACCAGGAAATTCTTTTGGTATGTACACTTTTTATTCCCTTTTCTTATAATTACATTTCATACCACAGTTTTATCTTTACCCATCAGCTATTTTCAAGCCTTGTCTACCCCCAACCACCACTCATACACACATACACATTTTCTTTTCAGTAATAGTATTAACATCCAGCTTGTTTTGAGCCTCCTGATTATCTTTTTGTCTTTGTTTCTCATTACTGATTTTCAACATTGACAAAGTAGGTTTTCTTTATTTTACACTCTTACTAATCATTTTCCTAAGTATCTTTCTTCATCTTATAATTTCCCAAACAACTAAAGCCTGCAATATTTTACTAATAAGTTACAAAAACAGCACACTTTGACATTAAAGCCCTAATTTCTGAATTCAAGTGATTATACATATGAAAAGATTCATCTCAAGCAAAAAAGTTGAATCATCCTTTTCTAAAATATAGCAAAATGGCTGTTTTGTTGTTTGTCACTTAATACAACACTTTCTAAATATTGACAATAAAAAACAACCTTCTCATAAATTCCCTTATTATTATTATTATAAATATGGTAGAATAAATTGTATATTTTTAATTATATCATGCAAACTGCTGATAAAATTACATTATGTACAATGACTAATTTATTGATATTTTGTAATTAACAATAAACTTAAATTATGAAATATTTCTGCTTAAAAGTAAGATGAGAATACTGTGATTAAATTTCATTATTACAAGTAAGAAAATTCCTAATGTTAATATTTTTATTTCATGATGCAATTTGAAAGCAGCAAACTGAAGACAGAATTTTTGAGAAACAAAACATTTGTATAATTGTAGATTTAGATTGAAAATTAGGCATTGATTTGTGTTTTTTTTTTGTTTTGTTTTTTTTTTATAAATATTCATTTATTTATTTAAGGTATGAATGACAGCTTAAACTTGTTAGAATCATAAACATTCTACTTGCATTTCATTAAATCTATGTATGAGAATTCTAGTTTGGGTATTGTAACTACTTTTACATTTAGTTTATTTCTTTCTGCTGAAATTGTTCCTGTGATATTAATTTCAAAAACTAATGTGATTATTTTGTATGCCTATTTATCATTTAAGTCTTTTGTTTTTTACTATTTCTTAGCCTTCATTGAAAACCTGAAGGGTTATCGTACACTTGATGACCATTTGCTAAGTAAAGATTTCTCTGAAGACTTGGCAAAGGCAATTATAAACAATCTGATTCACATACACAAAGCCACTTTCTTTGCTACTTCCAACAGTAATTGCCTTGAAGATCTTGAAGCCCAACTTCAGTAAGTTTAATTCATTTTTAACTTGATTCTATATTTTTACTCGGAAAATGCCATAATACATCCTGGTATTTTTTGCCTGCTTATCTTTAAAATTCAGAAAATATAAGGAAATCTCACAAAAGTTCTGTTAACATTTTCTGAAAGTTTTCTAAAAAGGAATTTTATTTTTAGTTTGGTATTTTAAGATTTATTCTTAAAGGATACTTTTCAAGCTTTATTTTAATGTGTATTCAGTCTCTTCTTTGAAGTTCTTATTCTTTTTATTCCAAATTTAATCAATGACCATAAAAATAAAACAACAAAATGCGTAATAAAAGATTAATATTGATATAAGAAATAAGTGCTGCTAAAATCTATCCCAGCAGTTTTAAAAGAAATTTTAATCAATTTTTTATTTTTATTTATCAAATACAAAATGTTAATAGTTAATAAAATATTCAGAAGAATTATCAGCAAATTTTTAGAAAACGTTTCCATTTATTAATTAAATTTTTAACCTTTTGTATCTTACTTTAAATGTGCTTTATTTTAAATTGTTTAAAATATGTTTTACCTTATAGAAACCAAACATCACATATAAATTTTACTTATACAAATGAAATATGTTTTTGCAAAACAGTGAAAAGCTTAAAAAATTATTAAATATGTAACATATTTTTTACTATGGTTTAAATGTCACTATTTTACTTACTGCATAAACTAAACTGTCCTTACAAATTGTAAATGTTCACAACATAATTTATTGAGAAACATCTATGAACAATCAAAAGAGAATAGACATTTTGATAACCTGAAATAATTTGGGATTTGAAAATATGCTGGGGTTAAAAATTCTATGGAAAATGGCAAAGAATGAAGGAAATTAAACAGAAAAAATTATAATAATAATAATACTTATATAAAAAAAAACATACCATGTGATTACATTATTATTAATGGTTAATTGAACAACAAAATTAAATCAATTTATGAAAAGGAATGCATTTGAAATGTTAAATTGTGTGGGAAATGATTAAATCATATTTAAATCTTTAAAATTTTGTTACTAATTTATATATTTCTAACAGAATAAGTTAAATGAATTTACTTAGGGCAAGTTTTGTTAGACCTACTGAATAATAATAATAATAATAATGCTTTTTTTTATTTCAGTCTTCTAAACATCTCCTTAAGAAGTGAAGCTATGATATCATGATTCAAATCTGTAAAATACTTTTCATTGTTTTACAATGTTTTTTGTTTGTGTCAGGGACTGTGGATTTCCTGGAATAATTGAAAAAATGACTTTTATCTGTTCATTTGAAAAGGATAATCCCACCAAGTGCAAAGATGAGTCGTTAGAAAAAGTCCTGCTTCAAATATACAACAATTCTACTCTACTATCATCAGTTGCTGATTTAAAGAATTCTTTCCACACCAATAAGGAATGTTTGATACATGGCAATCTGCAAACGGATTCCATTTTGTGTAGCTTAAATGGAGACATTAAAGTAAGTGGTCAAAAAACTGTAATTTGCAATTGATCATTTTTCTCAACTCTTTTGTTCTCATTTAGGTTTGTTCTTTAGTGATAAATATTTGACTATAAAGTTTTCTTTAAGACTGTCCTGAAAAGTGAGTCAAAAATAAAATTAAATATGCAAAGGGGATTTAGAGTTACAAAAAGTGGGTAAATTTTACATTTATTTTAAAACTTTCAGAATGTTTGCAGATGTGTATACATATTTGTTAAATGAAAACAAGAACACATTTAAAAATGAATACTTCTCTCTCATTATTTTGCTTATTTTATACTTGAATGAACTTTTTAGATGAAGTAGATTCATTGTTAATAGGATTGATACTTTGTTTTTCTGTAAAGTACTAGGTAATCAGATTTTCTTGAAACATACATGTTATAAACATGATTGGTTAAAGTTTAACAAAATAAGTCTTTTGTATTCACACATTGCGAAAATTAGGAGTATTTATTACACAATCATATATATTAAAATTGTAGAGCAGTTATAACTCTGAATAAATAATTATAATCCCCCTAACATTTATATATACAAAAATACTTGTAAAATTAGAAACAGCAAGATGTGGAGACAACAAAATGAGTATTATTTATTATCTGATTGTTCTGTGGTATTGGCGACAAAAGAGACAGTAATACTGAGTAAAATTGTGAGTTTGGGGTGAAATGTAGCTCCAATATGGATTGAAATCCGACAGAATGATAAGACATTTCTATAACATTTTCAATAAGGAAAATTTATACAATCTTTCTTGTATGTTATCTATAGATGTATGTAATGAGTATCCAGATAATTTAGTTGGAAAATACAAGAAGTATCTGGGGTTTTCTTACCTCAAATTTTTGTTGAGTGCTAAAAGATAAACAGCTATTATGGCCTGAAAGGAAAGGAGCCGAAATTGTTGTTGACACACATGTTAACAACCGGTTCATGTGAACTGCTTGTCCAATAGTGAGAATGTCAAAGGCTTGTGTGTGTGGAGGAGAAAAGTGTGCTCAATTCTCACTGGTTTAGAATGAGTAAATTAATGATAATTATAATTGTTATAATCATTTTATTATAATATTTGACATTATAATTATCTTTATTTTTCTTCTGGACACAACACTGTGAAAGTATAATTAATTTTTTATTGTTGTATTTGTGGACACAACAAAACTAATACAATATCTTTCATTTTTTAACTTGAATTTTCCCTGTTTTTTTCCCTTTCAGAACAACTAAATGTGTTAATGATTTAAGGAAAATACAATTTCATGCTCTGAAAAACTGGATGCTTTTAACAAATGGTTTCTATTTTGTCATATACAATTATTTGAATCTCCATGTATATTAAGTACTTCAAATTGAAGTCTCAACTGAATTGCATAATCCTACAATATTAAGGGTTTATAAAATGTATATTATTCATGTAACTTTGGCTTTTAAAAATGACATTAGATAGACAAATAGTTCTGGCAAAGTATTGATATGGCAGCCATTTGTAATTCTTATTTATTTCAAAAAGAAGTTTATTGCCATAATATAGCATCTACATAACTACAATGATCTTTAAACACAACATTTGGTTGTGAGGATACAATATCAATTGACACATTATTAATTCACTGAGTAGCCAATTGGAACAAAAGTTCAAACCTAATTTTATTCATTATCTTTATTGTTGTTGCTGTTTGTCATTAAATAATAAGAATTCAGAACAAAAAAAGAAATGTGTGAAACTCTCTCATTCCATATATTAGGATGGGTACCTCCATAGATTCACAATACCTGAGTTTTAAAATGAATTCTACATTAGGATCTAGACATGTCATTTATTTAACTTTGACTACCTAATTAGTAGTCGTTTGATTCTGGGTTTAATTATTTTCAGTATTAAAATTGGTGAAAATGTTTGAATCTAAAAAACAGCTCTAATAAATGGAAATGATCTTTACAAGAATGTAATTCCTGTCTTTCATGCATAAGAAATCATTTTTTCTTTTTTTTTTTAAGTCTTAAAAATATCACAATTCTACACAATCCAGCTTCAAAGCTACAAGAAATTTTACTCTCAACATTTAAAACAAACATTTGGTAGTCCCATTATTTAATGCTTTAAAATGTTCTTTATTGTTTGTTTCTTTTAAACAGTTTGCTGGTTTTGAATTTGCCCATGTTGGTTCCTGTGCCTTTGACATGGCTTGTATCCTTGTCAATTACCTTGTTGCATTTTATCATTTCTTGGAGCCATCTGAACATAGTGACCAGAATCATCAGTTTGCTCAGAGTATGATAGAATACATGAAAATTTCAGGTAGGTTATTCATTACAAATAGTTTATAGTGTCTCTCATGTAAGTTGGTATTGTTTGTATTACCTAACACACTAGTGTTATTATTGCTTCCATTATCTTATGTTATAAGAAGTTGTCAATTCTGATTGCAATGCAAAAAGCTTTCTGATTTTTGGAATCCGTAATATAATGTTCTACTAAGTTTACAGTAATTTTGAAGACTTTAAATCATTCTAAATTCTTACTATGAAAACCATGTTAAAAATGAAATAGAATTAACTTAGTTCTGCATTTTAAATTGTTACTGCCAATATTTTATTACTTCTAAATAGAGCTTTGGAATACAAGTCTATAGAGCAGTGGTGTGGTACACCTCACATGTGCGACAAAAGAAGCCAAATGATTTAAAGACAATCAAAGATTTAGAAACAGTTTCAAAAATTCATATGCCAAAAATAAATATGATTTCAAAATTTAAAATATTACAGATTACTTGCATGCATGAGTCCCAATATAAATAGTTATAAATAATTATTGACCGATTTTATCATTGTTATATTTTTGCATTATGTCAAGTATTAAGAATATAGTAACTAGGATCCGCAAATTGGAGGAGAGAGTTATTAATGATAATGTTCTAACTTCAAATTCGAGGTTATCTCCCTTTAATCCCGCCTCTATTTTTTATTTATTTTTTAAATGTACTTCTTATCATATAAAATTTGTTGAGGCACAGGCAAATTTTCATTTCAAAAAGATGGCCCAGAGTAAAAACAGTTTGTGAACCACTTCTGTAGAGTCTTTTGCTCCAAAGTAACAAATTTAAATAGTATAACCATTGTTTCTCTTATTAAAAAATAATAAATAGATTGTTTCCTGTCTGTTTTTATTTTGCTGTTTTGATGTCTTTTTTAGTTTTTTTTTGCATTTCCAACAACTGGTCCCTTTGATTTCTTTGGTTTGTAATCAAAAATTTTAAAATTAGTCAAATGGGCATTTTTCATTAATGAAATGAAATAGTAAAATACTAAATTTTTGTGGGTTCAAATTTCCTTGCTGATTTATTGTGGTGTTATATTTGTTTTTCTAAGGCAATTAAAATAGCCATCGAAATCATTATTAATCTTCTGTCTGTATATTTCTGATAATTTCAACTTAGCATTCCATCAAACCATAACATTCCATAATTGTATTTAGTATTTCTTAAAACTATAATTAATTCTAATTGCATAAGAGATAACAATAGTAAAGTGACATTTTTTCAAGCAAGTATCTTTATTCAATAACCTAATCAAGGAGATTATGCAAGTTAAAACTTGAACTTGCCAATAGCATATTTTAAAGATGTTAGTCTTTTGAACATGAAATTTATGAGATTTATTACAATGTTTTCTAATATATCTGACCCACCTACATTTAAAAAGAAAAAGAAAATCTAAACTTATTTCAGTGATCAAAATTTGGTCAGATTCATGTTAGCTTATTCTCTGTGCAAACAACTTAAAAAATTAGCATTGATTGAAATTCTGAGCTGAAATAATTTTATTATTGTATGTATTATTCCAGACTAATGTTTGTTGTTTCACTTACAGTGTTTCAGCCACTTTATGAATATGCATCACATCTGTGAAATATCCAGGCAGTTTCAGACTGAATTTTCTTTTGTTTTTGTTTGGCAGTAAGGTTTTTGTTCTCTATTTGGTATTATGTCTAACCTCCTCTTCCTCCTCCTCCTCCTCCTCCTCTTCAGCAAAAAGTTATTTCAATCCCTCAGAAGATTACTGGACATAACTATCATTTTTTCAAATGTTGTTTAACTGCATTATTATTATTACCATACTTCTATATAAGTTGCTTTGCACACACACACACACACACACACACACACACACAATTATTTCTTTGTTTTTCATGAGATTATTTTTTTAAAAATTAGGTGAAATATTATATTTAAATTTACTCACATAAAAAATAAATTAAAAAACAAAAACTATGAAACCAAATTTTGTTGATTAATATAAACATCAAATTGTTTAAATTTTGATTATAATCATAGTTCTCTGCTGACATGAAGTTTAAAGATTATATATTGCCAAGTCTGCTACTAGGAAAGTTGGTTCTCTGTGTCATGCTAGACAATTTTTCCCGCCAGAAACTATTTTACATATTTATAAGGCTTACCATTCATCCATTCAAATATTGATGTCACATATGATCTGGTGCATTTGATATATATTTAGAGATTCGTGATAAAATCCAAAGAAGAATCTGCAATATTATTGGTCCTGACCTGGCATGCCGCCTTCAGTCACTTTCTCACCATTGTTTATGTAGCTTCCCTGTGTCTTTTCTATAAATCGTTTCATGGTAATTGTTCTGATGAACTTTCCTCTAAGGTACCTAGATATTATGTATTTAAGCACAGTACTACATTGGCAACAAAGTCTCATCATTTTACAGTTGAATTGGCTAGAACAGTTTCTTTTCTCACCTGTGGAACTCTCTTCCAGCTTCTTGCTTTCCAGCCAACTTTGATCTTCAAAAGTATAAATGCAATGTCAATCACTATTGTCTTCTTGATTCCTCTTTTATTGTTCTCCCTCCTTAATAATATTTTCTTCTTAATCTTTCACACTCAGTAACCCCTTGTGTCTTAGTGGCTTTATTGCATTGCTTGGGCTGAAATGATGAAAAAAAAACAATATTTGGAATTGCATATATATTATACACCACTGTTCCATTAGAACATGTAAATTACTACTACAAAATTGTACATTTTGTTTCAACGTTTAATAAACAACATCTCATCAGGTAGTTAACAATGATGGTAATAAACGATTTTATTTAAAATTACAATTTCAAAGGATGAAATTAACATTATTCTGAACTGTAGAAAATCAGTCTTAATACACAATGGACAGTGGATTAAAAATTCAGCTGGTAATTTCGATATAACAATGGGATCTTTGGATTCTGCAGAGTCCTCAGACTTAGTTAGACTGTTCTTATTGTACAACCTCACTTATAGAGATGATGGACTCATGATTGTAAATAAATCTACTGGAAGTAAGGTTGATAAACTTAGAAAATTAATCCATAGAGTTTTTAAATCTTTTGGTCTTAGCGTAGTTATTAATTTTAATATTAAACAAGTTGATTTCTTAAACATAACATTAAATTCGGTTTTCAATAATTTTCAACCTAACTTGAAAAACAATGCCAACCTGATTTATATCCACCATAGCTTTAATCACCCACTGCCTGTAATTCAACATATTCCATCATCAGTTGAATGGCATATTAATTAACACTACTCTAGCAAAGAGATATTTGAAAAACATAAAACAGTTTATGATAAAGTTCTTAGGGATAGTGGGTTAAGATCTTCTGAAATTAGGTTTGTAGAAGATTGTTTGTTCCAGAAAGAAAAACAGAAGCAGGAAGTTCATATGGTATATACTCTTCCATTCAATCAATTAGTTTGTACTAAATTGGGACATAAATTTTTTAAATTAATTGATAAACATCTTCCTAAAAATAATTCTTTAAGTAAAATTTTCAGTCAGAATGCTCAAAAACTTAGCTACAGTTGAACTAATAATTTAGAGAAAATAATTAAATCACATAACAATATAATATTGAATTTATATAATAATAATAACCATACTGCTAATGCTGATCTTAATTTGTCCTGTAGGAATAGTTGTAGAAATCTCAGCCAATGCCCTTTATTTAACAAGTGCTTAACTAAATCCCTTGTGTATATGTGTTCTATTTCATCAGTAGAAAATCCAAAGGTTACTAAAATATATATTGGGAGTACAATGAATGATTTTAAAAAACGTTTCTATAATCATCTCTCATCCTTTACTAATGCTGATAAACAAAATATAACTTCACTTTCTAAATATTTTTGGAAATTGAAAGAGTAAAACAAAACACCCAAAGTTAAATGGAAAATTCTCAAACAAGCTAGAATTTCCAGATCAGTGTAGGAATTATGCTTCCCCTGTCTGCAGGAGAAAATGGAAATAATTAAGTTCTTGAATAAGGACATATTATTAAATCAAAGATATGAAACTATAGTAAATTGCAAACATATTAAGGAATTAACCTTACAATTTTGCTAAACTTCATAACTCCATAATCATTCCTCTTTTGTTATATTATCTTTATATACACATTTTAATGTTATTAGTGATTTATTCTAGCTTTAGGTATTATATTGGTTAGTATCAGTAAATTACTGGTGGTATACTTAGCTATGAATTGGCTGATTATTATTTTTTCTCTGCTGTATTGATAATAGTTTTTAATTTAAAATTAATGTAAAATTATAAAAGTATAAAATTTATTTTGTATTCTAATTTATAATGTAAGGTTGGTTTAGTAAAGTATTGCATTGCTTCTTAAAGTGTCCTTTATTTATATTCTATATTTGAAACACAACATTGTATCTTATGTGTTAATATCTGTTTGCGTTTCATTTTCATTCAAATTTGAATTCTCTTTTTCAACTTAATTTCATTGGTTTAACTCGTATCAACATCTCATATGTTATTTTCTTAATTTTCCTTTTCCTGTGTATCTGTAATTTTGAATATATTCCTCTCTTTTGCCTTTCTTTTCTTTCTGTTCTCTTGGTAGTAGGGTTAATTTCTTATGCATTCTTTTGTGTTCCTTTTCTTTCCTCTCCCTTTTCATTTTATTGATTTCTTATTTTCTTTCCTTTTTCTATTTATAAAAATCTTTTTCACCTTGTACAGAAAATTTTCCAAAAACGGAAAATGAAGTGATGTTTCATAAATTGAAATTTTAAATAAAATCGTTTATTACTATCATTGTTAGCTACCTGATGATGTTGTTTATTAAATGTTGAAGCAACATATACAATTTTGTAGTAGTAACTTACATGTTCTAATGTAACAGTGTATAAATATTTATTGCTCTACTCGTGTATTGAGCCCTGTTTTAAATTAATGTTTTGAATGCCAGAATTTTATTCTTTGTTTTTTACATTTGGAGATCTATATATAATCATGCATATAGTTTTTATATTGTTGGCAGATGTATTGCTTTCTTATGAAGAGTTATATAGTGTATGTGTATGAAAGAGCATTTTTATATTTGACTTTTTGTTTGTTTTCAAAGGACAATTGTACATTGAAAAGATGCACTTTCGGAATGATCAAGTTAAGAAGTTTTGGTCAGAAGTTGCAGGCTTTGCAGGCTGTGTTATCATTAGACGGTATGTAAGAATAGATGTTGTTATCATTAGACACTGTGTAAGAATAGATGTTGTTATCATTAGACACTGTGTGAGAATAGATGTTGTTATCATTAGACACTGTGTGAGAATAGATGTTGTTATCATTAGACACTGTGTAAGAATAGATGTTGTTATCATTAGACACTGTGTAAGAATAGATGTTGTTATCATTAGACACTGTGTAAGAATAGATGTTGTTATCATTAGACACTGTGTAGAATAGAATAGATGTTGAGAATAGATGTTGTTATCATTAGACACTGTGTAAGAATAGATGTTGTTATCATTAGACACTGTGTAAGAATAGATGTTGTTAATAAAAATACAAACATCTTATTTTTCAGAAATGAAAAATTTTCTCTTGTTGATTCTCTTGTTAATATATTTCATTAAAAATAGAGACATTTGTTTACATTTGAAAATATTTAATCCTACAACATCTCGGAAGAAAATGTATTTGTGTGCTACTTAAAATGTAGACTAAAAACTGAAAATGAAAAAAAATATTGAAACCTACTTTCATGATTGAGTCACAGAAGAATACAAAAGCAATTTTCTCTTCATCTGATAAGTTCTTTGACCAATTTGAGTCTTTTCATCCATCCTTGAGTTATAGAGAAGGAAAGTAATGGCTCCTTACCTTTTCTGGACATTCTTGTGGAAAGATCTGGTAATGCATTTTCTACCAGTGTATTTCAGAAACCTACATTTTCAGTTCTGTACATTGTGCTCTTATGATCTTTTCTGAAAAGTTTGAAAGTATGCTATTGTGTATAAGATTAAAAGGTTTATTCTACTGGACAGTGATTATCCAGAGGACGTTCTTGTGTGGCTCTTTATACATAAAATTTCCATATTTAATTCTTCTACCATGCAGAGTCCTAACAAATGCCCCATCTATTTAAAGCTACCTTGGGAAAATAAAAGTGGTCAATCATTGGTTGATCAGATAGTCCTATATTTCTGAATGATATTTGGCGACTAAAATGTGGGTTGTTTTCTCTACCAGTTGTGTTCTTCCTCCCTTTCAAAAGGACAAGCGTTGCCCGTTTCTAATGGCTCAGTTTTTTACTATTTAAGTGTCCGTGCAATGTTGACTATGTGGGTTGGACCAGTCAATGTCTGGATATGAGAATTAACCAGTATTAACCAAGTCCCTATAAAACAGGTGGTAGAGTTGGCCAGTTTAACACAGTTGACTCTGTCAACTCTAGAGTCCTTTATTAGCCAACATTTGGTCGACAAACCCATTTGTGCAAATGAATATCAAGAAAAATGGTTCAGCATATAACACTGGATATATTCTCAGCATAATCAGAAAATTATTGCAGTAGTTGCAGTCAGTTTAAGGAAACCTTCCCTGGGTAAGCAAAAGGAGAACTTTAACCATTCCCTTCTTCTTGGTGAACACTAATCTTTTTTCTTTCTTTTTTTTTTCTTTTATTTCCGCAGGTTAATAATCAATTTCATTTGTTTTTATTTACACAAACTAAATTGGTTTCATAATTGCTGGAAGACAATTCTAAACTTTTAATCAAGTACTGGTGTGTTCTTCCCTATTAGTCCCCTAAATGTATTCAGTGTTCTTGTCAGTATCAATAAAAAGACAAACTTTTTGCCAGCAATATATCCCTGAAGAAAGTTTGGCCAAAAGGTTCCTTAGATGTTTTTTTAAAAGTATTAAGATGCTTTCATTAGTATTATTTACAACTCAGTTAAAATTTTGTAGTATCAAGTCAGTTATATAACCAATGGGTAAATATAGGTAGATGTACGAGCAAGCAATTGTATACAAATACATATAAATACTCTATAGTGTAAGAAAAAACTGTACTCATTATTAAATAACAAAGCTATTTAATATAAATTAATATATTAAATACCTTACATTGATTGCACAACTCTAAGTTTCATGCCAACGCAGTTATCAAGTGCAAGTATATTTATTTTAATTTTATCAGCCCAGACTTGCGCAATCAATGTAAGATATTTTGTATATTCCTTTATATATATATATATATATATATATAAATGTTCATGAAAAAAAAAACATCTGACTATGCATTCTGTTAGGCTTCATCAGATTGAAGGCAAAAAAGTGAGTTGTGCGTTTATGTATTTGCATATGTTTAAAATAATGAAATCTTTTTTCCCTAAACTGTCATTGCTCATGACTAAAAATGAGAAAGAAAATTAGTGACTTACTGCAATTAGGTTGCAATAAATGTTAAGCTCTTGTAAATATGGATTGCTTTTCAATGTTTTCATATTTGAAAAAAAATCTGGTAACCTTCCTCTTCTAATGACAGTGTGTAGAAAGATGACATCTTTGATTTCAGTTTACTTATTGAATTCTTTATTGAAGAGATAATGTTAGAGGAGGGGGACTGGATGAGAATTTTTTTCCTTTCACCACTCCAACAATAAAACGAAAGAAAATATCTGTTAGTACCAGCCCTATCCATCATTAACTAGTTGTCTTTTCACATGTAGTCATAATTAAAGTCACAAGTCCACCTATGTACTTTGCTCTCATTGGCGCAAGTTTAACATTGACATGTACATTATGAAGTCAAGACCCTAACCAGAGTTACAAAGGGACCATGACTAACATTTAAAATGGAATTTGAGAATTGAGGGTAAAAAATATAACAAACCCATTTCAATGTTGGTTGAAATTGTTCAGAAATAGTATCCTCTGCAATGAAGAACAGTTTCATAATACACAGAAAATCTTGTTAATGCACTTAACACTTCATTAACCATATAGATTGCCTATTGAAAATTTCAAATCAAAATTCAGGTCATTTCTAATGAAGCTATGAAATTATTGATTCATTTTGTATATGCTTCACTGTTTTCATAATTTGCATCCATTTTCTATTTCTTTTTGTATAATATTTGTACTTAGAATTTTAATTTGAAGACAATTTTTTAAAATTCTTTGAGGACATTTTCTAACTTCAATAATCAATGTTATTTTTCAGATGTATGCCTTGTAAATTATGTCTGTTCTTTTCGAGGTATTAATGACAGACATTAAGGAAAGTTTCTTGTCTTAGATCTACAGAATTAAAAGTTTGTAAATTATTAGAAAAAAATAGGTCACCTGTTAGTAATGTAAGAGTTAATAGCATAAATTCAAATTCTGTTGACTTAAATTATCAACAATTGCAGGCTTGATGAGTTTTTATGTATTCTCATTGGTGTTGTGTTTTATTAACACAATCAAAATATCAGCTAAATAAAGTAGATATTAAAATGTTAAAATAGATTAATTGGCTGTGTTTGTACAAGAATGAAAACAAAAGATGCCACAATTTAAGAAATGGTACAAATGTAAGTGGAATAAGATCAACTCTAAATAAAATAAAAGGTAGAATAAAAAATATTCATAATTCTATGTTTTTATTCTTACTTGCAGAGTCCTATTACCTTTACCTGAGGACATTCTTCATACTGATAAGTTTTCCAAAGCCGATGTCCTGGAAGCTGGGATACGTCTTCTCAGTGGACACAAGAAAATAAACAACATTGACAAAATGATTGTGATTGCCTTCATGTTGGCCTACTGAAGACTCGTTTGCAAAAAGGATAATTTAGCTGCAATAGCCCAACATTGTATTTCTTTAATACATTGATTCTGGACTTTATGTTAATATTTACTTTTACAAGAAGTGTTTCAGTATCTGTCTATATTTCTGAGATGAAGTATTTATGTACACTATTTACATTATTCAAACAGTCTACCCCAGTGAGCGAAATAAAGGGTTCAGTTCGACATTCCAACCACCTGAAGAAGTCCAGAGCGTACAACAGCCAAAACATTGTGATAAATATGATGACAAAGATGAGGACAATAGTCCGAATAATGTAAATAGGAAGTGTTTCATCTGTTTTTTTTTTTTTTTTTTTTAACACTTTATATATACACACTTTTGTGTTTGTGTGTGTGTGTGTGTGTGTATATATATATATATATATATATATATATATATATATATATATATATATATATATATATATATATAATTGAATGACAGAATGGTGAGGTGTGCCACTCCTCCCTAATGTATTTAATTCCTAGAAGGAACTTCTTCAGACTAATAATAGTTACATTGATTGAGTCAGTTGTATGTGTGTATATATCTAGAGAGAATGAAGGTGTTGGAATATAACAAATATTTGTTACAATTTTACCTCAAAAACACTAAAGATACAGAAATTCTTGGTTTTAAATTTTTGGTGTCCATTGTATCTACATACCTAACCTAACTGACCTCATTCATGTTTTTCTTTTTATCACTTTTGTTTTAAATATCTCACATTATATTAGCATTTGTTTTACCAGGAAAGGAAATCTGATGTATGATGATGGACATAAATTTACTGTAGAAGCTTCCAAAATTAGTACACTTTCAATACATTTTTGCCTTAATAAATTAGTTTTTCTTTTAATTAAAATTTCAATTTTACCTCCACCCAACTATTATTCACCTGAAGAAGTTCCAAGTGTTTGTGTGTATATATATATATATATATATATATATATATATATATATATATATATATATATATATGTGTGTGTGTGTGTGTAAAAAGTGAACATTGAAGTCAACACTTAGGTCTCTAAGTGTTGACTTCAGTGTTCACTTTTTACAGACGCTCTATCTCTGATATTGAGCACTTTATCCCATAAATATAGCACACCTTAAGACTATATTTCTTTATATATATATATATATATATATATATATATAATATATTTCCCTTTTTTTCTCTTTATTTTCTTGTCTTCAGAAAACAACACATTTCTTTTTTCATCCTTATGTTCTTTAATTTTTCTTCCATTCTTCACTCTTTTCCTTCCATTTAGCATTTTTCTCTTTTTCTTTTCATTCCCCACTCTCCTGTAGCTTCATCTTTCTTTTCCTCTCTCCTCATTCAACAATCAACCTTATCAACTGCAAGTTTTATTAAAGATATGAAACAGATCATAGCAACAAATAGTAAATTAGAATATTTCTTAAAAGAATTGCTAATTTTTAAGTATAACTTTTCAAAAGCAGATTTCAGGGAATATCATTTGACGATTTTTAATTTATTTTCTATTAAGCAACAAAAAACATTGTGTTAGTGATTTCCCAAAATGTTATTAACCTTTTTGTAAGCAAGAAATTTTTAATGGATTTTTTTTTTTTTTTTCAAATCAAAAGTTTCATAGGAAAGAGAAATTTCATAAGACAGGCCTTGCCCCCCCACTCATTCCACCCCCCAAAAAATTTACCAATTGTAGTATTTTTACAAGGTTTTATTTTAGCAAAATACAATGAAGAAAAAAAACTATAAAGCAAGGAAGAATATAACTTTCATAAAACCCCGATGAAATAATTCTTCTTTAAAGGTGTATAAATGATGGTAATTTCCCTTTATCACATAGATACATAGTCTAATAAAATAAGATAGAAAAATAAAAATGCACAAACAAATAGAAAAGAATACAAATTAAATGTCTTATCTATCTTTTTCTATCTTTCACTCTCTTTCTCTTTATATATTTCTCTCTGGAATAAAAAGAGGAAGAAGACAAAAAGACTGACCCTGACTGAAAAGACACCAGATATTGACAGTCCAGGGGCTAAATAGTTTTTGCCCCCCCCCCAACCATTTGTCTTTGCTACAACACTGTAAGATATTACTCTTATTTTCTCCATTTTCAACATCTGAGATTTCTGAAATGATTCGATCCCATTTATTGCACATTTCAATTAACCTTTTAGAGTTCATTGTTTCACTCGTGGAACGTATTTTAATACATATGTCCTGCCACTATAAAATCAAAATAATTAGGATTCTTATGGCAATCATAGAATTTATATTTTTGCATTCACATATTAGTTTATAAGGTTTCTTTTTTTTTTTTGTTACAATGTTAACTTTAGGAGTGAACAAATTAGTCAAAAATTGACTGGGCAAAAAATATCACAACAAATTTAATGGTGTACTGGTCTGCGTGAATTTAGATGTTTTTTTAAAAAAAAAAGAAAAGGTTAAATAAATTTTTAAAGTTATAAATTGCATTACTTTTACTAGAAATAAAATTATATTATTTGTTTACATTTTAAGATTAATTTTTGTTTTCAGCAACAAAGTTTTTCAATAATTTTAAACATTTGTATGTAAAAGAAAATATGGATATCCATATTTCAAGAAGTCAGTAGTTGTATGGAAGATGAAAATTATATATTTTTTTACTCCAGTTTTCTATATAAAACAAGAAGCATTTGTTATGTCTGAGAATATCAATGAAAACTGTTTACTGCTCATTAGACAATCCATTGTCAGTTGCTGACAACAGAACTTTCTTTGAGAATTACTTTGTTATCCAAAAGAACTTGATGATCTGCACAAGCTGAAAAAATTCTTCAAAAGTTAACATTTAATTTTTTTAAATGTTTCAGAAATTCTTTTAAAATTTTAGCAGTATTAGTACATATTTATTTTCTTTTTTTTTTTTAATAATGACCATTGTTTATAAAGAATGCTAATTAAAAAGAAAAACGTTCTTTTTTTTTTTTCTCAGAGGTTTTGAAGAATCTTTGAAAGAGACTAAAAGTAAACAATCAAAATCAGAGAGTTCCTTTCATGTGTAGTTATTAAATAGAAAGGATATTAACAATTAACTGTTTTTTTTTTAATCTCAGTGATTGAGCCAGTTCCTGCCTAATATATTGTGATTTTGAATAGTTTCTTTCAGTAAATTTAACACTGCAATTGATAAGAATTAGCAAATTTAGTATTCAACTCATTGTCAAATATGTTCCCCCATTCTTGCCTCTGACATGAGTTCAGTTGGCTGGACTGATTTAAAGTAAATGTTTTATAATTCACGATTTTTCTTAAAAGGCTCCAAAGGGTGTTAAATATGTGGCCTTTTTTAATGTTTTGTTTTGGGGGTTTTTTTAATGAGAAAATATTTGTAAGCTAAAAGATAAAGAAATAGCAGTGATTGTGAAAAATAATTTTATTAAAATACCTTTTCATCCATTTATTAAATTTGTGTTAACATTGTTCCTCCTGAAAAATAAAAAAAAACTTATTTATAGATTTTTTTTATTTTTATTTTGTTTCTCTTTCTCAATATTTGAACTTTTCTAGGAACTTCTTTTTCAGTTTTTAATATTTTTCTCTTGATATAAGTTTTCATATTTTTATAATCACAAATCATTCTGAAAGCAAAGTTTTTTCCCCCTCTTCATAAGGATAGTAAATTAACTGATAAAAAAATTTATTAGTGTAAAGTTTGTTTACATAAAAGTATTGTCTGGATTTTTTTTACAATCAAAATGTTATTCATTTATTTTTATCAGCGAACCTCTCCACTTTCTTGATAAACTGCCAGCTAATTATTTGATATTTACTTACAAGGCCACAATGAGAATCAATGATTACACCAATGATTTTTACACAGTGTGACTAAATTATATTTAATTTAACAAATGTTTATTTAAATAACAGCAGCCAATTCCAGAACATGTTTAAATTATTTAATTCTGGATATGTCTAAGATTTTATTACTAATTAAGTTTTAATATTTTGTTTTTAAACATATTCAATATGTTCCAAATGACAACTGAATCAATAAGATTTTTTTTCATTCTCATTTTCCTGTGTGAAACTGAATTTTGAATTGTAGCCAATCTCCCAGACTTTTTCAAGGACCATCAGCACACATGAAAATATATTTTGTCTAAATCTAGATAATTTCCAGTGAAAATTAAGCTTACATAATGTAGTGGAACTCTTGTTAAACAGTGACAAGAAAGATAGATGTTCACAGAGTTAGGGACAAATTGAAAAAAAAAACCAAATAGATTTGTATGTTGCCAGAACATTAAAATTGTTCCTTTGTGGCATAAATTCGTGTGTACTTTGTATCACGGTCATTTGTCACTCCACTTCAATTTTGGAGGATATCTTTGTTGAATGTATGAAATTTTCCAATGTGTCTATTGACTTTAGTTTTGACAATATGATTTATTGACAAATAGACAGTCTCCATAGGTAGTTGTTTAGATCTTGTGTTGGCACTATTTTTGTTGGATTTTATGAGCTGAATTTGCTTGCTCATATTAAAATTCTCAATGTTGTTTTCTACATGTGGTTGACACTTTTGTGTATTTGATAATAAGGAGTGGTCGTTTTTTTTTTTTTTTTTTTTTTTTTCATGGACTGTTAAATAAAATATATCCCGTGTTATAGTTTACATTTGAAAAGGAGAAAAAGCAATTTTACCTTTTCTGGATGCACTTTTTTTTCTTTATACCATAAACATTTCAATTAACCTCCTTAAATCTCAACAAAAATTAAATTTCATCAAGACTTTGATTAATCATGCCACAATTATTTGTCTTAAAACCAAATTGAATTTTGAAAGTGAATTTATAAAAGTTTCAGTTGATATTGGTCAGTCTAGCATTTGTGTTGAAATTACACAATTTAATAAACCAAATTGCATAACCTGGAAAAGTGCACCCCAAATTTGAATTGGTGAGGGTTACATAGGATTTGCTAGATAATCTCAAAGTTTGCAGTTATGTACAGAACTAATCACAGGTTGAAAGTAACAATTGATCATCACATGCCAACTAAGATCTGTAGATGGGGCAATAGGAAATTTTCAATTCGCTTGTCAATACTTCTAATTTTTTCACTTGCAGAACACCTAATTCATAATCTAATTTTGTACCTCATCTTTTGTCAGAGATATTTTCTTAGTTTGAATATGCCTTGCTGATGACTATCATTTGAAAGTACTTGAGACCTTGTATATTAAATCTAAGCAATCTTCTCTGAAGCTGAAGGAATGGTTGCTAGTTTAATGTAATGTCATCCATGTTAATATGCATTTTATTTTCAGTTTGTTCCTGCCTCTCTGTGTATGTATATTTGTCTACTGTTTAAAGAGAATCTGACTACATTATCAAAGTTTTTTTTTTTTTTTTAATCAGAAATCTCAATCCAAAAGTTTACCGGTGAAATTTAAGTTCACATGGTCCGTAATTAAAGGGAAGTAACCCTTGCATTCAAATTATGTAACCAAGAGGTTGTCCTTTAAAACTGTTCTTTTTTAAGCCAACATCAGAAAAAGTAATAATTTTCATGCTGATTGACAAATTAGTCAAATATTAAATTTCAGTGTTTAATCTTCAAAAGGACTTATTCAAGTTCGATTTTCTTCCTTTTTTTTTTTTTTAAGTGTCATTTCTACCAAAGAACTCTCTCTGTTTAAACGTTTTTTCCTTTCTTTTTATTGATGTGAGACTGAAAAATGTTTAATGTCAACTTTTTCAAAACTTTTATGTGTAAAAGGGAGAATTCAAAGTTGAATGTCATATGAGTAAATTATTTTTAACACCTTGCAAAACATCTTTTTTTTTTTTTAAAACAATTCCTGTTGACATCAAAATTTTTGTGTGTTTAAAATGACTCTTCAAATGTAGTTATTCATCAGTGTTATTTTTCTCACATTCATGTCTACATTTACAATGTTTTGAAACTCGTTCATTGATCATAAAAATAGCTTATTTTTTAATCATTTATTTTCACAAACTTAAATGCTTTTAAATTGACTGAGAAGAATACTATTATTTTAAGGTAAAACTAAGCTTGAAATTCTTTTTAAGTGTAACAATCTCTTTATCAGGTAAGAAAAAAGGAGATTACTTTGATACAAGAAGAACTTTGAAAGTGATTTTTTTTAATCTGCAGAATAATTAAAGATAACCCAACTAAAATGTCATAAATTTTAGTTTCCCTTTTTGAATAAATTAAGTCTGACCAATCTCTTCACAGAATGTCTAATAATCAGCAAATGAATCATGAAAATATGAAAGTGATACTCTTTTCCCCAAAT